GCGTCGCCCCAGAACGGCCTCCACTGCAGAGCACACCCCGCTAACTTCGCCGCGCGGGCCCGGCGCAGCGGGCAGGTCTGCGTGGGGCCGCGCGGGTGTGCGGACGCCGGGCCGCCCAGGAGTTCCAGGCGTGCTTCCGGGGCGCGACCGGGGCCTGGACCCGACCGTGCGCCGCGTCCCGCGTGGCCTGGGGGTGGGCAGGGCGTCTCGTGGGAATGTGTGTGTGCATCTGTGCGTGAGTGCGTGCGCGGAGGGCCTCGTGTTAGCACCTAGAAGCGTGGAGCCCCTTCTCCCTTCCCGGCAGCGTCGTCCTTCCGTGAGAACGCGGCATCCACGACGGGAAGGTGCTGGCCGCCGCCCAGTCCTCAGCCCAGGGACCGTCTGCAGGGCCGTTGGGACAGACCTCACTGCCGACGGAGGGACCGTGTGCCTGGGAGACCGAGGGGACGGCAGTCCGGCCGCAGGAACGTCACTGTCTCCGTGGGACGTGCCCTCAGCCGCAGCCCGGCCGGCTCCCTCGTCCCGCCCACCCCCCGGGACCCCCTGTGCCCCCGCAGGCCCGTGTGCCCAGGAGCTGCCGGCTCCTCGTAAATCGGCCCCGAGAAGAGAGCCCCTTGGAAAACAAGACTTGGAAAACACAGTGCGTCCGCTGTGCAATCAGAAATTCCGAGGCTCCCTGCGAGTTTCTAAGACTGGGCAGTTTTTCCTGCATTTACGGTTTTGTTAACCTCACCCTTCGTGGGCTACTGACCGACCGAGGGGTCCGTGTCTTTCTGCTGCTGAGGGAGGTGGTGGGCCAGGCGCAGGCGCGATCTAACGGGTGTCTGGGGACACACAGGAGCAAGCATGCGGGCATCACGCGGGCAACGCCGCAGAGGGGTTCGTTCCTTAGAGGCCACGCGGGCTGCGGGAGTTGGCACGGGCCTTCTAGGTCTCTTAGCAAATATTCTTAAAAAGTAGGCTAGTTACTTGAAAGGAAGATTCTTTTAGCAACGTGTATTATTACCATGGGGCGTATTTAACTTTAAACAATCCGCTAATAAGCACGTTAAATGCGTAAATAGTCTCCACGTCAGGAACTCACCCACGACCTTATGTTTTACATTTCGCATTAATAGTGGGATGGAAAAAAACCTCGCCGTTCCTGGTGCGGTATTTATGAGGTCGAGAAGAAGTCTGTATTCTTCAGGGGGAAATGCTACCGAAATTACATTGGACTAGAACTTGTTGTCCTAGTAAGGTGTGTCCCCGGGACGGTCCGAAGGGAGCCGCTCTGGCCACCCACACCTGCACGTGACACCGTCCCTCGCCCACGGGCTCCCTCTGTCCGTGAGCGGTTGTCGCAGACGCACAGCGCTGCTCGGGGCCGAGCGTCTCCCCCAGGACAGGGGGCCCTCGGCCGGTGGCCTTCGCTTACCTCGGCCCCCTGGACGCGCCCTGCACAGCGCCCTCCCAGGCCGCCGGGCTTGGCGCGAGCGGAGCCTGGCGGGAAGCCCCTCCGGAAGCCCCTCACTCCGTCCGGGGAACTGGGGCCCCGCCTGCGTCCGCCCGGCGGCGCGCGTCTCCGTGGACTGTGGACGCGACGCGGGCTGAGTCCTCCCAGCGGTTTTAAAGCGAAATCAGGGAAGTGGGTCATTCTGGCGTCGGGGGAGGGCCCCGCTATTCGTGCCGCGTTTCTTCAACGCCATCAGGGAAGGGCCATGGCCCCTCTGTCCTGGGAGCAGGAGCATCTACCCTGCAGGGCGGGGGGAGGGACCCCTGTCAGAAAGCAGCCCACCCGTGGCTCTCGTGGAGGCGCAGCTGGGGGGCCCCTCAGCATCGCAGCCGCCGGATGCCCCGGGGTGGACGGTCACCAGCGTTCCCGACCCCAGCTGGCTGCCCGGGCCGGGGACTCCTGCCTGGGTGGGGCAGGGGGGACGCGTCGTGAGCGGGTGAGCAGCGGTCCAGGGTTGGGCCAGCAGGGACACGAGAGACCAGCTGAGTGACCCCCTGCCGGCTTCGGGTCCCCATCACCACGGAGCGGGAGCTCCTGCCCTGTCGCGGCTCCGACAAACCAGGGGGTGGGGGGCAGAAGCAGGTCAACAGTTGTGAGCATGCGAGACTGTGTATTCTTGCATTCGTGGGTATTAATTATTGTAGTACTTTTCCATACAAACAACTGTAAACCTACTTTTGCCCGGCCCTGTGTAGTATTAGCCTGATTCTTTCAGGCGTTAAACTGATGCTGTAGGGCTTTTACTTATTTTTTTTAAAGATTTTATTTATTTTTAGAGAGAGGGGAAGGAGGGAGAAAGAGTGGGGAACATCCGTGTGTGGTTGCCTCTCATGCGCCCCCTACTGGGGACCTGGCCCCCAGCCTAGGCCTGTGCCCTGACTGGGAATCGAACCGGCGACTCTCTCGTTCACAGGCCGGCGCTCAGTCCGCTGAGCCACACCAGCCGGGGCTGATGCCACCGGGCTTTTAAACCAGACACAGCCCCAAGGAGCCTCAGCAGGGCCGCCTCCCGGCCTAGGCGCCTGTCCGCGACGGCCTGCAGACAGCTCAGCTCCCCCCACGCGGCCCTGGCACTGTCTAATGAGTCACAGCAAAGAGAGAATGGGAAGTTCTGGGACCCTTCTCCAGGCCACAAACAAACGAACACACCAAAAAACCCCCAAAACCAACCAAAAAACCCCCTGGGTTTTCTGAGGTCCCAGTTCCTCTGTATTGGACCGAAGCCTTAGAGAGCTGAGCCGAGCACGAGCCGGCGCTGACTGAACGGCAGACGCTCAGGCTCCCGTGTCCCTGGGAGGGGCCAGGGAACTGTGCTTACCCGGCCGCCTCCGGTTTGTCATCACATTCCGGCGCTGCGGGCCCCGCGCTCTGCCCTTTCAGGGGACGCAGCCACCGGGAAGCAGGAGGGAGCTGACAAAGCGTCACAGGGCAGCTGAGTAAACAGCAGCCTGTCCGTTCTGTCAGCACCTGCCCAGCATGCTCCCTCCCTGCGCCGCCCCCCCGCCCCCAGGGGCTGTGCTCTGCCGTCTGCCGGCGCGGCCCTGGGCCCACGCGCAGTGCCTCCCGCATCATGACTGTGCCACGGAGATGCTGTTGCAGCTGCCAGGAGAGACGGAGGGGCGCTGAGCGTTACATTCCCAGCTCCAAGACGCTCAGAGAGCTTTCCGTAGCATCGCAGCAGGCAGAGCGGGGAAGGCGGACGCACGCGCTCGCACGCATGCACGCTTGGCACACGCATCGGGTCACAGGATGAAGTGTGACGAGCCGGGAATCCACAGGTGTCGCAGGAAGGTGGCTGAATGTCATCTCGTTGCTTCTGAGAGGCAAGCATGTCTCGTGGGAGAGCCATGAGCCTGAGCTGCGTGGGGCGCGTCTCTGCCTCCTTCCTCCTCTTGGGGAAGCCGGAGCCCACGGGGCCCCCTCCTGGCTACAGAGTCTCCGAAAAGGCTGGGCCGACTCAGCGAAGATGTTTTCTGACGTTATTTTATAATTCCTCTGCAGGTCCTCACAGCTGCCTTCCTAGTGCTTCTGGGTTTTGGGGGCGGGGGTTGGGTTTTTTTTTTTCTGGTTTTCTTTGGCTTTTTTCCTGCTGCACATGAGCTTTTTGGAGAGTTGCCTCTCAGAGGCTCTCTAGACGCATCATTCCAAGAACGAGCGGCTTCGGAGTTGCAGGCTCCACAGCCGGCTGCCAGGGCGTGCCCTGACCCTGCCTCTGAGTATTTACCTGCCTCCACGTATTTACCTGCCTCCAAATATTTACCTGCCTCCACGTATTTACCTGCCTCCAAATATTTACCTGCCTCCAAGTATTTACCTGCCTCCACGTATTTGTTGTGACCAAATGTGAGGTAAGGGCAGGGAGAGGCTGCAGCAATGGTGCCCCCACGGTAATAAAATGAGGTCACACAGGCCAGCTGTGCTCTCCACCCAAGTGCTTCCTTTTACGCCGAGCACGTTTCTTCAGGTTGACATGGGAGACTTGCTGAGGCCCGCACACTCGGTCATGTCCCGCGGCGGAGCCCCGGGCCCGAATTGAGTTCGCCTGCCCGGATCCCAGCGTCGGGGAGGGGGAGCGAGGGGCACTGTTAAAATCCCTGTGACCCCGTGCCTCTGAGCACCACACCGTCCGGAGGAAAAGCCAGCCCCCCGCCCACCGGGCTGACCTCCGCGACCGCAGGGCTGTGGAGGGAAGTGTGGCCCCGAGGGCGCAGACTGAAACATCCTCTATCTCTCCCACCCGCAGGGGCCAGAGGCGCGTGACGCGGCCGATACGGGAGCACCGGACATCCCAGCAGCGGAAGCGGCGGAGCAAGGCCCCGCCTGAACGAGCCACGGGCGCGTGATTCTGTTTTTCCAAAGCGCACCTGGCAAGGGAGCGAGGGACCCGTCCCGGGTGACCAGACGGCCCGGCGGCACTGCGACCGCTGCTGATGGCGGGACACGAGATGGACCCTGCCCTGCTGACTTGTCCAAACCCTGAATGACAAGTGGGAGTCACAAAGAGGGACAGCGCCCCAGCGTGGCTCTTTACCAAGGAGGGAGTTCAAATCAGGCCTCCGAAGTCTGAGGCCCCTGGCGCAGATCTGCAGGCCCCGGGCGCCAGGGGACGGGCAGGGAAGGAGCGGGGGCGGACAGGCGGAGAGAGCGCGCCCCGGTTTGTCCTGTGCGCCTGACAGCCCCACTCCGCAGAGTGGGGGCCGGACACGGAGCGGGACCCAGGCTCCACGGCTGTGCGGGAGGCAGCTTTGGCCTCCCCACCGGCCTGGGCTGAGCGCTGCGACCTTGGCAGCGCCCAGCCGAGGTTCACTAGGTCTCCTGAGAGCGCACCTGGGGCTGCCACGCCCTCTTCGCGGGAGGGGAGGGTGGGCCAGGGAGCAAACCCCAGAGTGTGGACCCAGAAGTGAAATCTGATCACGCGCCAGAAGAGGCCAGGAGCCGCAGCAGAACCTTCGACCTTGAGCAGCGCCAAGCCATGGTGGGCCCCTGAGGGGAAGGCGCCGCTGCCATGGAGAACCCGGTGGCCCCTTGCATCCTCTTCCCCGGGGATGATCGCGGTCCCGAGCCCAGGGGCGCCTTGGCGCAGGGCGTGTGCGGCCAGGCTGGGGGCGGCGGCGGTGGCGCGCCCGAGGCTCCGGGAGAGGGCAGCCTGCAGCCGCCGGATGCGGCCGCGGGGGAGGGCCCTGTGTCCCCGGCGCAGTCACCCTGCAGTCTCAGCGCGTCCCTGTGCTTCAGCTCCGGGGACGACTCCCCGCCGCAGTCCCGCGCCTCCGCCGCCGAGGGCGCAGCGGCCTCCCCGCCCCCGTGTCGCAGCGGCGAGCGGGTGGTGGAGAGGCAGTGGGAAGTTGGCAGCTCGGGCGCCCTGTCGCCCGAAGACCCCGAGGAGACCGCGTTCCCGGAAGAGCCCGCGTCCCCGGAGGAGCCCGCGTCCTGGGAGGAGCTCGGGGAACCCGCGCCTGTGCCCCCCGGTGTCGGGCCCGCGCACGGGGAGCCCGACCTGGTCATCGAGGTGTCGGGCCGCCGGCTGCGAGCACATAAAGCTGTGCTGGCGGCGCGCAGCGACTACTTCCGTGCACGCGCGTCGCGGGACGTGCTGCGGGTGACGGGCGTGGGCTGGGCGGCGCTGCGGCTGCTGCTGGCCTACGCGTACAGCGGGCGCATGGCGGGCGTGCGCCCCGACAACGTGGCCGAGGTGGTGGCCGGCGCGCGCCGCCTGCAGCTGCCCTGCGCCGCGCAGCGCGCCACCGAGGCCGTGGCGCCGCAGCTGAGCCTCGCCAACTGCCTGGAGGTGCTGAGCGCGGCCAAGCGGCAGCGGCTGACGGAGCTGCGCGACGCCGCCTACCGCTTCATGAGCGACCACTACCTGGAGGTGCTGCGCGAGCCCGCGGTGTTTGGGCGCCTGTCGGGCGCCGAGCGCGACCTCCTGCTGCGCCGCCGCCTGCGCGCCGGACGGGCCCACCTGCTGGCCGCCGCGCTCGGGTCGGCCGGGGAGCGCGCGGGCAGCCGCCCGCAGAGCCCGTCGGGGGACGCGGAGTGCCGCGGGGACGCCGCCGTCTACTGCTGGCGCGAGGAGGCCCGCGAGTGGCACGAGCTGACGCGGCTGCCGGAGGGCGCCCCGGCGCGGGGCTGCGGCCTGTGCGTGCTCTACAACTACCTCTTCGTGGCCGGTGGCGTGGCGCCCGCGGGTCCTGACGGCCGCGCGCGCCCCTCGGACCAGGTCTTCTGCTACAACCCGGCCACGGACCGCTGGAGCACCGTGCGGCCACTGCGCCAGGCGCGCTCTCAGCTGCAGCTGCTGGCCCTGGACGGCCACTTGTACGCCGTGGGCGGCGAGTGCCTGCTCAGCGTGGAGCGCTACGACCCGCGCGCCGACCGCTGGGCCGCCGTGGCCCCGCTGCCCCGGGGCGCCTTCGCCGTGGCGCACGAGGCCACCACCTGCAATGGGGAGATCTACGTGTCCGGGGGCTCGCTCTTCTACCGCCTGCTCAAGTACGACCCGCGGCGCGACGAGTGGCAGGAGTGCCCGTGCAGCAGCAGCCGCGAGCGCTCGGCGGACATGGTGGCGCTGGACGGCTTCATCTACCGTTTCGACCTGTGCGGGGGCCGCGGCGACGCGCAGGCGGCGGGGCCAGCCGGCGGGGTCAGCGTGCTGCGCTACCACTGCCTGGCCAAGCAGTGGAGCCGCTGCGCCGCGCACCTGCGGCCCCCGGGCGCGCCGTCGGGCCTGCAGCCCTTCCGCTGCGCGGCGCTGGGCGGCAGCATCTACTGCGTGAGCCGCGCCGGCACCTGGCGCTTCGTGCCTCCGCGGGACGGCGAGCGCGGCGCGGAGGAGGCTGCGGGCGGCAGCTTCGAGGCCGAGGCGCTGGGCGCCCCGCTGGACGTCCGGGGCGCGCTCTTCCCCTTCGTGCTCAACCTGCCCGAGAATCCAGACAGAGGCGAGGAGGGCGCCGATTAGGGCGAGCCGGGGTCCCCGGGGCGTGCCCGGCCCCGGGGCGGGGAGGGCTTCCTGGCAGAGGAGGATGGGAAGGGCGCCAGGGGAGCGGCCAGAGCGAACCCCGGAGGGTCCGCACTGGGAAGGGGAAGGAGGGAGCGGAGGAGGGGAGGGGACAGTGGCGGGGTGGGCCGCTGGCCCCCGGGTTACTTAAGGTTTTGGAGTTAGGAGCTTGCCGCGGGGTCTCCAGGACTTTTTGCAGCGCTGTTTCGAGCTTTCCTGCTGTGCATTCCTTTTCGCTTCGCTTTGCTCGCGGCAGTCGGTGGCCTAAAGTGTGGGAGCTGCTCAGGCAGGTGACCTTGCAGAAAGGCCCAGGATCCCCGAGGGGCAACGATCGCAACAAGACGCGGGGGGGGGGGGGCAGGCGCGCCCAAGGTGTATCCGGGAGCAGTGTGGGGTACGCAGGGGGCCAGGCGGAGCTCCGCCGCGCCCCTGCGCTTCCCCCGCGATCAGCAGGCCTTCGGGTCGGGGTGGGGGGCAGGTGGGCGGAGGGGAGGTCGTGGACAACCACAGAGTAGGAAGGCGCAGGTGTTTGGCTGCGGGGTTAAGGTGAAGTAACGCTTCAGCTCCTTCTCACAACTAAGCAAAGGGGTTCCTGCCACCATGTGCTCAGGTTTTGCTTGTCTCAACTCCAAATTTATGAGCGTTAGAGGTAAAAACCTTTGGTGACGGATACACTCTCTCGTCCAATAAACAGCGGCCAGATGTTCTCTGCAGGTCCCAGGTGGGGGCGCCCCCACAGGCGCCCCAAGAGGCCCCAGCTCGCTGTCCCACGAGACGGGTGTGGCATTTCAAGGGAAAGCGCGCGAAGCGTCGCCTTCAGCGGCAGAGTGAGGACCTGCGGCTGCTGGGATTTCAAGCCTCTGGTGATGGATGTTTGCGCGAGAGCCGGGCAAGCGCCGAGGAGCGGCCTGCGGGGGGCGCCGGTCTGTTTCAGCCTCTGACGCGCCCGGAAGAGGCCCCGTCGCTTCCACATTGTATAACGGACTCAAAGCGGGAATCCCCGCCCCCCGCCCTGGCCCCAAGAAGGTGAAGCTCGCTGCTGTTGACCTTGCTGAAGCTGTGCACCCTTTGATCCCACCGCCTGTGCTGTGTTCAGCACGTGCTGTGCAATTCCCCTGAGGGGGACGGGTTTTATAGACCATCCTTTTAGGAGCCTGTGGCAGGGTGGCATCTGGGCGGGAGGGCACAGGGCCGGTATTCGTCGTGCAGCTCATGAGGTTAAAACTGCGTTGCCCTAACCCTGGATTCCGAAGCACCGTAGCGGAGCTCACAGGGAGCTCTCTGCTTTGACAGAGCACGAGGGTTAAAGAGCAATGGATTCTTCCTCGGTGGTCATAACATTTCCCCTTTCAAATGGGGGCACGTGGGACTGACTGTCTATTTAGGAGTAACTGTGTGTGGTACACGGGCACCGGGACTGGATTCCGAATCTGGCCAGTTTCTGCTGACGCTAGGAACGGCGCGGCGGCAGTGATGGGCGCGCGACCAGGTGGTGTCATGTGTAGCTTAGTGTCGTTTCCTTGTCGGTGCTGCGACGGGAGCCTCGTCTCCGTAGCTGCCGGGCTGTGGGGGATGGGCTGTGCCCTGCGAGGCGTCTGCGGTTGTGAGGGGTCCCGTGACATGTTTGGAAATGACCCCCTCGAGCCTGATGCCTGGGCCGGAGGGACGGGGTCCCTTACAATTTCCGTGACAGCTCAGGGGACGCGGACGCTCCCTCGTGAACGGAGGAGGTGACTCGGCAAATGAGTTCATCGTCTTAGGAAGGAAACCCGTCTCCTGTTGTCTGACTGCGTCGGCCTGTTATCTCACGAGACCGGAAATTCTGGTGGGAAAAGGACTGAGAGCAAAAGGAAATGAAGCTTGTTCTTTTTAAGTAAATGTATGTTTCACATTGTTGTACGTGTGTCTGTAGAATTTTATTATTTATGCTCAAGTTTTTAAGGGGCATGGGACCAGGCTCAGCTTTTCATTCCTTAACCATCGCACGTAAACAAGTATCACTGTGACTCCTTGGGAAATCATTCCTGTGATGTTACCGTCGCCAGGCACACGCTGGATGTGGGCGGTGGGTGTCCTCGCAGGGGCCGCCCGGGCGCGGGCTGTGCACTGTTTTGTCACTTTGTTGGGAAGAGGAACACCTGTCTAGACACACCGGGCCACCTCGCGGGCAGGGAAAGGATGTGGAATGTTATGTATCGTGTTTCTCAACAGAGCATCGCCTCACACAAACACTGCCCGCCCTGGCGGCCTGAGCGCCAGTGTGTGAGGCTGGGGGGCAGCTGCCGGGGGAGCCCCGAGGGCTGGCACCGGTTCCCCCCCGACGGAGGGGGGGACGCGGGGAGGGCCCGGCCTGAGCGGAAAGATGGTTCACATTCAGTGTAATGTTCTCAGTCCACACCCGACACTGTGTTGAAAAACGGTGCAAAGCTATTCCCGACCTCAGATCTGTTGTCAAACGAAGCTGATGCACGAAGGACACCCCCCCACGACCCTTGTGCGTGGGCACAGGGAGGGCACAGGAGGGCTTGAGCTTCCCGTGTGCTGACCGGCTGGGGCTTTTCTGTTGTCGACCGGGTTCATCTGGGGCCCAAGGGGACAGGCGAAAGCCGCCTCAGTTCCTTTCTGTGTTTATTCCGGGTCCCGGGAGCGGCCCAGCGCTGTGCTGGGACCTTTGCAATTTTGTGTCTGAGTTTCTTCTCCTTTGGGAGAACCGACCCCGGGGGAATCCTTTTGCTACGTAGTCAGAACTGTCGCCTGCATCAGCTTCGCTGCAAACCCGGGAGGAGACTGTCGCCGGCTCCACTCCCGTTCACCGTGCCGTGGCCGTGGTAGCTCTGGGGGCAGCCTGCCCGTTGGCTGCGTGACTTCCTGCGAGAGCTTCTCGCCCGGAATGTGCTCTGGGTTTCCACCTCTCCCTGGAGTCCCGGGGTTGCAGCCTGGTCTGTTCTAGTCCCTCACTGGGGCGGATGTAAACGGAAGTGCTGTTTTGTGTTCGTATTCCAGCTGCCTTCCTCCTTCACAGGCGTTTTATTCTGGCATTAAAAAAATGGGTGTTTTGTTCCCCCCTTTCCTCTGCATTATTGCTGTTCAGGACGAGGCGCGGAGGCGCGGTGCACGCGTGTTTGCCGCGTCTGAAGCTCTGTCGGTGGCTGCGTGCTCCTCACACCCCAACGCCGGCGGTGCCCGGACCCTGCGGCTCGGCCCCCAGCGCCCACCCGGCTGCCAGGCGCTTCCCTCCTGCCGAGGGACTCGCTTCGAAGTGACCTGAAACGGGCGGCGCGCGTGCCCTCCCCACGCCCTCCGGCTCCGAACACCCTGCAGGGTGGCCGCGCACTGGACACAGCGCCATCGAAGGTGCAGCGCGGGCGGCCGGCGCCGTCCACGGGGCATGTCTGTGACACTTCAGGTTCCTCGTCCCGGGCTCAGCGCCCTGCACCGTCTGTCCGTGTCCGCCGAGGTGAATAAATCCTTTGAAAATGCCCGTGGTCCTGAAGTCTGTGTGGTGTGGCTCGTCCTCTCACGGCAGCCTCCCCGCGGCCCGTCCAGGAGCGAGCGGCTCTGTTGCCTGGGGACCCAGGGGACGAGCATTGCCCCCTGGAGCCCGGGAACCCCCTCCGAGGGGCGACTGATGGGCACACTCAGCCCAGGCCGCTGAGCGCGTGCGCAGCGCCAGGCTCCGTTCTAGGTGCCCGGCGGCCGGAGCACCGCTGCCCGGGGGCCCTACCCCTAACCCTGGGGCAGCCCCTCGTAGGCGGAGGGGAAACCTCACCTGCACCACCGAGTGGGGGACCCCACCGGCTCTGTTGGCAGCTGCCGCGTAGGTCCGCCCGCCGCGCTCGCAGTCCGGGGCTCCTTGCGCTGTCCTGGAACAAGCTCCTTGCGCTCAGACGCGGAGCGCTTGGCCAGGCCCTGCGTGGGCCCCACGAGGGGCCGGGCGGACCGCCAGCCCACGGGGAAATGGACAGCGACCCCTCCGTCAAACGTGGAGCCGAAGGTGCCCCCCACTACGATTATGGCATTTTAACAGGATGAAGCCCAGGTTCCAGCGCTGGCCGGCGGGCTCCGTGGCAGCCGCCCTCAGGCCTGTGTGCCCCCCGTTCCCGCCGGCCGCCTCCCGGCCACCGCGGCTGCCGTCGTCCCTCAGGAGGGCACGCGCCGCGCAGCCTGCGCACTGTGACCTGCGCCGGGTGCTCCGCCCCGTCCCCACCGCCCCGCCCCCCCAGTCTCATCCAGTCAGCGCCCCCATCCTGGCCCCTGTCGGCTCACTCAGCGCCTTTGGTTTTCCGCGACGGTTCTGGTTAATTCCCAGTTACATCGCGTCTTTATTACTGTCCAGTACGTCTTGACTTTATATCCTTGTCCGCGTGGAGCACGTCTTTATCTGTTGGCTCGCTGTGGCCTGTTGTCCTCCCTGGAAACTCAGCTCCATGAAGATTTGGGCTTCCTCTTGCCCCCCCTCCCCCAGTCACCCCCACCTCGTGTCCCCAGCTTCCCGGCCCGTGGCTGGAACACGGCGGCACCACGGCGTTTGTGGGCTCTCTGAACCGCGCGCGAGCGCGTGAGCCATCAGCGGGCAAGCACGGGCGGGGGTCCCCAGGCCGAGGGCGGCATCGCCGGGAAGCACCCGCGGAGCGAGCAGACGGCGTGGCCTGACCGCAGGAGGTGGCAGACACCCTGCCACACCGCGCCGCCCGCACGTTTCATCTAAAACGCCCACTCAAGGGCGCGCGAGCGCAGGCAGGGTTCGTCCCTTTAGCCCCCGGGCCCTGCCTTTTGGTAGGAGAATTTGCCCCAAACCCAGCTTCCTCTCACACAGGTGCTCCTGGCTTTCCTTTTTCCTTGTTCCTGTTTCTCCATCCCCACGGGCACACGCCTGCTGCGCTGCCGCACCCCGACCCCGCGCACGCGCGTCCCCGAGGAGCGCAGAGGGCGGACACGCGCAGGCGCAGCCCGCCCTCGGG